CGCGGCTGCGAGCCTGCGGGACATGCCCCCGGCGCCGGCTCCTTGCTGGCGGCCATGAAGAGGCAGAACGTGCGGACTGTGTCCCTGATCGTCTGCACCTTCACCTACCTGCTGGTGGGCGCCGCCGTCTTCGACGCCCTGGAGTCCGACCACGAGATGCGCGAGGAGGAAAAACTCAAAGCCGAGGAGATCCGGATCAAGGGGAAGTACAACATCAGCGGCGAGGACTACCGGCAGCTGGAGCTGGTGATCCTGCAGTCGGAGCCGCACCGCGCCGGCGTCCAGTGGAAATTCGCCGGCTCCTTCTACTTTGCCATCACGGTCATCACCACCATAGGTAAGGGCTGGGCGCGCCGCCGCCGGCTCCCGCGGCCGGGAGGAGTCCGGGGAGGCGGCTGAGCGCGCGGCGCGGGGCTGCGGTGCGGGACGCCGAGGGTTAAACGCCGCCTCTCGCGGGGCCTCTCCCGCGGCGCCCCCTCCCCTCTGGAGAGCCCACGCCTCTCACGAGCCTCGGCGCCTCGCCCCTCGGGGACCCCACCCGGGCTGCGCTGAGCGCTCGAGTCTGGCCCCGGAGGGCGAGCCCCGAGCGGAGCGTGCCTGAGCCGGGAGGGCGGAGGCGCCACTTTCGCGAAGAGCGGAGCGTGAGGAATAACCCCATTGCAGACACCCACCCGCCCACCCACCGCCCCGGCGCGGATTGGGCTGCGCGAGGTTCCAAGGCTTACACTTAAGAGCTCTCTGGGAGTTGGGGAAGGCTGTCCTGGCACCCGGGCGCACAGAAGGGCTCAGGTGGTAGCGCTGCTCTAGGGCGTGGAGGCTCTGCCCTTGGCCAGCTGGGCCCCCCCCCCCCCAAGGTTTCTCTTCTGGAGCTCAGATTTCAGTTTTCCACCCTCCGTGGCCCTTGTGCCCTGAGTTCTAGAGCCTAGATGCGCTGGGCTCCTGGGAGAAGGGAGTTTGTTTTGGAGGTTTGGGGTGGGGTGGCAGCCTGGTTACCCCTCTAGGAGCAGGTGGAGGGCGGGGAAGGGGCAAGACCTAGCCGCCCCCAGCCTGTGACACTGGGTCAAGGAAGTGTAGATTTTCCCCTGAAATCAGGGAAGTTTGTTGCCAGCACCAGCCGGGGAGAGAGTCAGGGGGTACACAGTGTGAGGCTTGAAAGTCCTGTGCCCAGGGGCAGAGTCCTGTGGTGCAGCAAAGTGGAGGGGCCCGGGCAGCGCCCCCACTGAGGTCCTGTTTCCAGAGCTCAACGGCTCCTGTGGGAGCTAGAGCAGGTCGCTGTTACCCAGGAGACCTGGTGGGTGCCCTGCGTGGCAGGAGCAGCGTGGTCTGTGCTTCCTGACACGTCTCAGTAGTGCATCCCTGACTCCCCACAACTACCTCCTGGGCCCCTCGGGGCAAAGCCCATCCGGTCCTCTGTGTCCCTGTGCCCTGAGCAGAGGCCGCCGGCTCCCCTCCTCCTGGCCATCCCTCCTGCCTACCTTCTCTGGCCTTCCCCGGATTTCTGCCTGATCTCTGTCTCTGGGAAACTGTGCTGGCGCCATGTGCAACAGGAGGCATGAGCACAGGACGGTCTGTCTCCCCTTCTTGCTTGAAAAGACTTTGCAGAGAGTCACATCTTGTTTTCCATGTTTAATTCCTCGGGGCAGGTTTTTCTGTGTTGGGAAGGAAATGGTCCTTCTGTTGTCGTTGAGCCAGCTTTGCTCCCACACACTTAGTCCAGTGGCCCAAACAAGCACGGGTCCTTCCCTCCCCACTCTGTCATCCAAGTGGCTGAGGGCCCGCTGCTTGTCCCCGACATTTCAGTTCTGTGGCAGTGACACAGTGCAGAGCTCTTGGAGGCCAGGCCCTGCTTACTCAGAGCCAGAGAGCAGGAGATCTGCCTCCTAAACTGACCGCCCAGATGGGGTGAGAAAACCCACTGCCCTTAAACGCACTCTAGCCATCAGGATCACACCCGGGAGAGGTGCGCTGGCGTGCTGGCTCTGAGGGCTACTGTGGGCACATAGGACGTTTGGCTGTCCCTGAGAGTTGCAACAACGTTGAGCAAAGGGTTGGATGAGAAAAAACCCAGAAATGTTCCCGTTGCCCTTAAAGAAATAAATTGTCGAGGCTGATAAAGTTCCAATCTAGGTGTATGTATTGATTCTGATAGGTGGCTCTGGACAAAAACTCGTAATGACTACAACTGCAAAGAGGAAATACCAAGCTAAGTGGAGACAAGTTGAGGGAGGCCTCGTAGCCAGAGTGTGGATGGGATGCGGATCACGGGGTGACAGGGGCTTCCCATGCATGTGCTGGTTTTTGTCACTTCTTTCATTAGATTTTCAGCTGATTTCCCCAAAAGGTTGAAACGTCCGTGTCAGGACAGGAAGCAGAGATTGTCGTAACCCAGCTGAACTGGGGGCCCACGGCCTGGCCTGGAGGTGGAATGGTGTCTGTTTGCCTGTAGGACCATGGGGAGGTCATTTCCTGGCTCTGAGCCTCAGTTTCCCCCGGTGTGGAAGGGGCGTTGCATTACCGCCTCCCGCTGGGCCTTCTGAAGGGCTTTGGGGTCTCCGGATACTGGGTGCTCAGTAGCTGCGTGAGCCTCACTCTTTGAAACAGGCTGAGCTGCGCTCCCTCTGCCCCAAGAAGCTGTTTAGCAGAAGAGCTGGAATGTACAGGAAACAAAGCACCTTGCCAGTTAATTCTGTTTGTTTTCTTCTTTTTTAATATAAATGCAAATGAAGGTGCTCTTAGGCCCAGAACAAAAAGCAGCCCGAAGCCAGGCCCTCCAAGGGACTGGCTTCTATCGAACGGTGATATTAATGAGTCAGGTTATCCTCACGGGCTCCCTTAGTTTTAATCTAACCTTGAGCGATGTCTCGACCGGCTTCAACTTTGCCCGGGTCTCCAAGGCTGGCGCAGGAGCCCTGACACTTGGCTTCTGCTGATGAGTGCTGCTTCTCGGATGCTCTGTTAGCTCGCTCTGTGAAATGGATTTTAAAACATAAGTACGGGCCACTTCTTGCACCTCCCTACGAGGGTTTGGGGGCCACCACGCTGGGTCAGCCCCAGCTCTCCGGGGAGCTGCAGCGGCAGGGCAGAGCCGCCTGCCCGCCGAGCTCTGTAAAGGGCCCCATTCGGCTGCATCATCTATCCGGGCTCTGGTTTCGATCCCCCCCAGGCTTCCTCGGATGTCCCTGCCACTTGTAGCTGTTTCCCAGGGGCAGTATTGTTGGGCCCTAAACTTGTAGAGCCCCAGAACCTTGGAGCCCTCCGCCAGGCTTGCTTCAAGATGGGGAAGCTCAGCTAGCTGTAGCTCTGCACCTGCCCGACGAGCGGGACGGTTGGGCCCCCTGGCCCCTCCCCAGCCTGCTGGTGTGAGTGGTGGCTGGGGGCTGAAGTGGGCTTTCTGGGGACTCACCCGGCTCGAGGTTAGTCCTGAGTGTGCAGGAAGCCCTGGTGCTTGTCAGCGTCCTGCTGTATCTCGAGGCCAAACTCGTGCTGCACAGTCGGCCCGTACCCACAACAGGACACAGCCAGGGTCTTCGGGGTGCTTCTTGGCGGGATCTGAGACTGGTCGTCTGCGTTGTTACCACCTCCAGGGTCATCTCTGATCCTCAGGGTCTGTGGGGGCCCTTTCATCACTGATCCTCCACAAGGGGCAGAGGAGACATGCGCTTTTCTCATTTTGCGACGGTTTGGAGGGCCAGGGACCTACATCAGGGCAGGGGTCTGGAGCAAGCTCTTTGGGCCCCTGCTGACATCAGGGTGGTGGTGGAAGGCGGCAGGAGGCTGAGTTAGGAGCCTGCTCTGTTGGCCAGGGCTGGGCCACACTCTGAGAGAGAGTTTGGGGCTCTCATCTTTGTCAAGGGTCTCATAGGCCCTGAGAGCAGGATGCACTGGGTGCCCCGTCCCCGTTTATCAGCAGTCCCCGGGCAGCGTGCTTGAGCACTGGGAAGCTTCTGTGTTCTCTGGCACTCTTGGGTGTCGTTTTCTGTACATGGTTCACACCCTTGCTGAGTTCCTGCCCCTGCCAGGCCCTCTGCCGCCTGCCTGCCTTTGGGGCTCTGGGGACAGAGATGACAAGATAAAACCTGGCCTTGAGGCTAGCGGGAAGCTGGAAACCCAAACAGTTGTTGCAGCCCAGTGTGAAGTGCCCGGAGGGCTCAGCCAGGTGCCTTACCCCCCCCCCCCACGCCATGGCTCTGGATGCCCACAGGGCTGGGGGGCCTGGTTGACCCTTGCAGCCCTCCTCCATGAGCTTGTCCTTGGTTTTCCTTCTACCCCTCCCTGCCTCCCTCCATCCTGGTGTTTGTATCCCGTTTCCCGTCCCAGGTCTGGCCTGTGCCTGTTCTCCCTGCCCCTCCAGGATCAAGACCACAGCCTGGCACAGAGTGGGCATCTCAGAGGACTGCAGGCAGAAGCAGGCCCCACGGGGCTGAGCAGGAAGGGGGCAGGATGCTTCCACATGCGTGGCATGCCCCCAGTTCCTCCGAGGGGCTGCTTGGAGGACTCCCCCACTTTACAGCTGGGTAAACTGAGGCCTGCGGCAGGCAGTGCACACAGATGCAGAGAGACCGGGACTCCAGAATGCAGACAGCATCTCTTTAGCGCAGGCCTGGGCTGCGAAGTTGTCCCAGCAGCCAGGGATGGGCCTGTGGAATATTCCATCTCTGTCTGCTTCTCCCTTTAATGCCACTGTTTAGGAAAACTGCCCAGCCAGTGCGGGGTGCAGGACCCTGGCCTGCAAGGGGCGGGGCTACCCTGGTTGTTTCTCGTGAGGCAGCTGGCGATGTGGAGGAAGTGTGGGATCCCTCTGGACTGGCCCTCTTCCCGAGGCCCTGCCAGATTGGGCTGCCCTGCTCAGTGCTGTGCACATGGCCTATTTATGGAAGGAGGAGGGAGAGTGGGCAGAAGAGGGGTTACTTCTCACTATGGGTCACATAAAGGAAACCCCAGCTCAGTGCTCTGAGGCAAGGGTGGGGATAAGATGAGACCCACCCTGCAGTTTCAGACACCTACTGCTTCCACCTGCTTTTCTAGGATCACTTTCCCTAGCGAAGTCAGTAAGGTCAGAGCAGAAGAAGAAGGTCAATCTGCTCTCACTGTGCTTCCCTTCCCCCATTACCTGCTCACTCCCACCTCCGTCCATCCATTCCCCATGCCCACCTACTCAGCCCTCCATGCACCTCCTGGTTCACACCACCATGCCCCCATTCCCTGAACACCCACCCACTCAGCCCCCCATGCACCTGCTGGTTCACACCACCATCCCCCCATTCCCTGAACACCCACCCACTCAGCCCTCCATGCACCTGCTGGTTCACACCTCCATCCCCCCATTCCCTGTGCGTT